CTATTTTCTATTTTCTATTTTCTATTTTCTATTTTCTATTTTCTATTCTATTCTATTCTTCTGTCCTGTCCTATCCTATCCTTCCACCATCTATCATCTATCTATAGATAGAGATAGAGAGATAGAGATATCCAGTGTACCCCCTCCTCCCAACCCAACATCAGATGCTTTTTAACCTGAGCCCCAAACAATTTCCGGCCTGTTAAGAGAGACAGAATTCCTTGTGCTCCGTCATCCCGTGTCACCCCAGACCGAGGGCTCCCCAGGAATCCTCCCACGTTCCAACCCGGAAAATGATATTGAGGGGGGATGATGTTCCTGGGATTCAGGACCACCAACCAACCAATCAACCGAGCCAGCTGGGTGGGATTCTGTTGTCTTCCGGCCTCCTTCTACTCAAGATGCCTATCTAGCTGCTCTGATCTGGACCTCCGCACTCCAGTCCAACGCTGGTTGGGCTGTGGGAATGGAGAAGAGGGCCAACTAGACACCGGTTACAGTTCCTCCTCGGCGCCCCACACAATTCCTCCTGGCTCTCAAGAGACTCTGAAATCAGAGAGGAAACTTCTGCATCAGCCAGATCAGTTATGAGTTGAGATGGATGGTTCTTGGAAGGAAGTAGAGGGAGGGGAAATCCCCGAGGGACTTTCGCTTGTAGATCTGAAGGCAAGGCTGTGCTGGGTTCCGGGTTCTGGGGTGGTGGGTGGGAAAGTCACCAAGGAGAGGACCTGAAGGGAGGGCAAGAAGCAGCAGATGGAAACTGATCGAGGAGAGGAGCAACCTAGAACGAAGGAGACGTTTCCCGACAGGGAGTGGAACGGATTGTCTTCAGAAGCTGTGGGTGCTCCATCACTGGAGGTTTTTCGAGAAGAGATTGGACAACCATTGGTAGGGCAAGGGTCTTCAAACTTGGCAAGTTTAAGGCTTGTGGACTTCAACTTGCAGAATTCCTGAGCTAACGTGGACTGGAGAGGAATTCTGGGAGTTGAAGTCCACAAGACTTAAAGCTGTCAAGTTTGAAGACCCCTGATCTATACCTGTCTGTCTATCATCCATCCATCCATATCCATCCATCTATCCATCCATCCATCCACTTCTATCTGTCTGTCTGTCTGTCTATCTATCTGTCTGTCTGTCTGTCTGTCTGTCCGTCCGTCCATCCATCCATCCAGCCATCCAGCCATCCAGCCATCCAGCCATCCATCCATCCATCCAGCCATCCATCATCTATCACAAGGGTCTTCAAACTTGGCAAGTTTAAGACTTGTGGACTTCAACTCGCAGAATTCCTGAGCTAACATGACTGGAGGAGGAATTCTGGGAGTTGAAGTCCACAAGCCTTAACACTGTCAAGTTTGAAGACCCCTGGTCTAAGTTTTCCTGCCTGACCAGAGGGTTGGACTAGAAGACTCCAGGGTCCCTTCCAACTCTCTTATTCTGACCCTACTTATGGCTAGTGGCATCTTCTTGTGTCTCCCTTGCAGATATCACTCATCCCATTCCGGATTTGACCGGCTTCATAACTGAAGGGCAGATTTATGTGGACAGACAGCTTCACAATAGGCAGGTAAATGGTCTGGCTCCTCCTCCTCCTCCTCCTCCTCCTCCTCCTCCCATCTTTGTCAGAGTGTCTGGGAAGTCCAGAGGTCCTCCTGCCCCACCATCTTCTGGCACTCCTGAAAAACTGCCCCAGGTCACTTACCATGACCAGCAGGAGACAAGGCACCATGGGGCCAGTTTACTTGTGGACTTCAACTCCCAGAATTCCTGAGCTCACTTGACCGGAGGAGGTATTCTGGGAGTTGAAGTCCACAAGTCTTCAAGCTGTCAAGTTTGAAGACCCCTGATTTATCATCTATACCTGTCTGTCTGTCTGTCCATCTACCCATCCACATCTATCTATCTATCTATCTATCTATCTATCTATCTATCTATCTATCTATCTATCTATCTATCTATCTATCTATCTATCTATCATAAGGGTCTTCAAACTTGGCAAGTGTAAGACTTGTGGACTTCAACTCCCAGAATTCCTGAGCTCACGTGACCGGAGGAGGAATTCTGGGAGTTGAAGTCCACAAGTCTTCAAGCTGTCAAGTTTGAAGACCCCTATTATAAATAATAAGTTGATGAACATACATGGACCTTCTTTCTTCTTCTGTTTTCCTCACAACAACAACCCAGTGAGTGGATTTGGACTGAAAGAGAGGGAGGGAGGGAGGGAGGGAGGGACTGACCCAAAGCCACCCAATCAGCTTTCATGCCTAAGGCAAGACTAGAACTCCCTGACTCCTGGTGATTGACCCCAAATCCCCCAACTAGATTTCATGCTTTAAGGAGAGGCTCACTGTGTCCTGGTGATTGACCCAAAGTCACCTACCCAGCTGGTTTTTGTGCCTAAGACAGGACTAGAACTCACCATCTCCTGGTTTCTAGCCTGGTGCCTTCAAGCCTTCTACCAGGAATTCAACTCACAGATGGTTGTGCTTTAGATAACTATATAAAGTACAGGAGTTTTAGGGACTCCAAGGGCGCCAGACCTCCCTCCCCATTTCATCTAGGGCTCTTAGCTCTCCCCAAAACAGTTTCCTCGTTGTTGTTCCTTTTTGATGTGTGTGTTTTTTTGGGGACCACAGATCTACCCTCCCATCAATGTGCTGCCGTCTCTTTCCCGTCTGATGAAATCAGCTATTGGAGAAGGCATGACCAGGAAGGACCATGGGGATGTTTCGAATCAATTGGTAAAAACCAAAAATTGGTCAGAAACGGCATAATTTTCCTGCTTGGGTTGCGGTGGTGGGGTTGGTCTAGATGACCTGTAAGGTCCCTTCCGACTCTGTTATTGTGTTCTGTCTAAAGCAGAGGTCTCCAACTCTCCACCCTTGGCCACTTTAAGGCTTGTGAACTTCAACTTCCAGAATTCTAGCTGAGGAATTCTGGGAGTTCTGAGAGTTGAAATCCACAAGTAACAAGCTTTGCTGGCTGAGGAATTCTGGGAGTTGAAGG